TTTTTTTTTTAGTTTTCCCAAACCTAATTGTCAAGTCCAGCCCATTCCTTTTGTCAATCTAGTCTTCCTAAACCTAATTGCCTAATCCAATTTGCATTGGTAACCCTAGAAGGACTATCCAAAGATTTCAATTTTAGATTTGTGATTCCTCCTCTCCAGTCTCCTCTATGGCTCTGTGTTGTAACTTTCTTTCTGTTCCTTAATCCTCATCTGTGATTTCCTTCAAGGTCTCATCGTCACTACCCATTGTGCAACCACTGCAATGCTAATCTTCTCCCATCTCTCACTCACACTCGACTCGATAACTCTTCTCTAATCTCTCAATCAGTCGCAGGTAACTCATCTCTTTTATGCCCTTTTTCTTAATGAACTTATTGCTGGACATGTATGGTAGCAGTTTATATCAATGTTTTTGAACCCGGCTCGGTGGCTGACTCGTTTTGGCTAACGGGTCTGGTTCAACCAGTTGAATCGGTTCACCCGATCGGTTCAACTGGTTGACTAAAAAACATTTTTTTTTTTACATTTTTTTCACATTTTCTACGGCTTTTGTTCAGTAATTAAGGGGGGCAAAATCAGTTTGGTCTGGTGAAGGAGAGGAAGATGATTGGCAGAGCTGCCGAGATCTGAGCAAAATCAGGGACGATCTGTTATGTTTTGTTGCTTCTGTTTGGTCCGGTGAAGGAGAGGAAGTGAGTGGCGGAGTTGCCGAGATCTGAGTAAAATCAGGGATGATCTGTTATGCTTTGTTGCTTTTGTTTGGTCCGGTGAAAGAGAGGAAGATGAGTAGCAGGGATGTGAGCTTTATCAGGAGTTGTCAACGGAAGTGGAGTAATGGTGAGCTGCCGACGAAGGTGCAGGGAAATCGAGTTGCTTTGTTGCTTCTGTTCAGCGGTGGAGATCACTAGATGAGGCGGTGACTGGTGGTGAGATCTTGACGGAAGTGGTGCAGAGATCAGGTTGCTTTGTCGGAGGTGATGAGGCGATGATTGGTGTGGTGAGATGCCGTTGGAGTCATGGCACGGAGATGGAGCAGGGATGAGGGAGAGGGATGGCCGGTGGATGATGTGTTTCTTCAACTTTCTAATTCTATTTTTTCCATGTGTCTTTACAAAATGTTACTTTTGATTAGGGGTTTTGGATTTAATTTTAGTTTAAATTTAAGATTTTTTAATATAATATCATTAAAAAAATAGGTAAAATAAGTAAATTACATAAAATAAAAAAAAGGGTTAATAAAGGCATCAATGATTCTGCCCAGTAGGTGGGATGGGCTGGGCATTTGGAGCGGGTCCAACGAGTCTAGCAGGCTAACACAAGCCAATTTGCAAAACGGGCCAGTGCATGAAACCGGCCCGTTTTTAAGTCCAGGTTCAATTGAACCAGTTCAATCGACCGAACTGGGTCGAGTTTTAAAACCATGGTTTATATATATTTTTTTTTCTATGAACTTTGCTGATGATAGTTATAGTTTATGCCCTTTTTTATGAACCTTTTGCTGGATTTGTTGGACTTATATGACAATTTACACTTTTTTTCTTTATGAACTTGTTGTTGACTTGTTGGACCTACTTGACATGTATATATTGGCTGTGTATATTTATTGCTTGTTTGTCTTATTTCAAATTTTTACTTTATATAATTATTTGAGTTAGTTTTATTTGATGAATGTGAAAACCAGTGAACTCTAAGTAGACTCATGTTGAGCTTAATTTTGATTAATAAGCAGTGAAGTAGGTGATAGTTTTATTTGGTAGGGATTCCAAATACCTGTGAGAACTTATCATTCCCCGCAAGTATGGGACAGAGGCTATTTTTCAATCTCCATCAAAAATCCTTGTGGGATCCCCGTATCCGCCATTGATGGGGTGGGAATGGGGAGGGGTCCCCACCCTCGTGGAGACCTGTTGCCATCCCTAATTAGTTCCAAGTCTCTTCCTAATTTCTCAATAAACCTAACCAAAAGACTCGCCCCAATAATTCGTTCTAGAAAATGGCATGACCAAACTCAAATCAATGAAAATTCGAAATTTTTTGAGGAAATTTTCTCTTGTGCTTTTGGTTCAGGAAGAAGAAGAAGAAAAAGAAAAAAAAAAAAGGAAGAAGAGAGAAAGAAAAAGAAAAAGAAAACGGAAAGCAAATTATTTTAAGCCTCACCATCGTTTGATTTGAGTATGAATTTTATTTATTATTTTGATTTTTGAGTTAGATAATGTGAGGTAATTTTTTTTTATTTTTTAATTTATTTCACTTGTATATATGTCATACAATTTGAACTAAATATTTTTTTAAAAAGAAAATTTCTGCTAAAATGAGATCATTTAGTTAGTTAAATTGTTAGCAAACAAAAATCAACTTGCTCTACAATATATAATCAATCGTTTGCCGTCTTTAATAGCATATATCACAATC